TGTAGGTAATTCATCAGAGGCACGATCGTTGTGGACCTTACCTTGGATTGTAAAGTGGTCGCGAACACGCCAATCCGGACTTAATTTATTACGATCATAAATCAACACTCGACAAGTATTATACGGGATTACAACATAAAAAATTTTTTATATACAAGTTCTCCAACATGTCGGATCACGCCCGATCCATCTTCGTGGAGCGAGATATTACACACATGATATTACAGTAATTGAACATTTACGTATAAACTTCACTATTGAAGTTTTAGCCTCGATAGAAGATGTCTGACAACTTCATTCCAATGCGAACTTGTTGATGCATCGTTTCGATTGCATTAACAATGTTCTTTTATCTCATGGTTTAGACAGCTTCCTTCTTGGTGTATTCCCTACATATGTGCTTATAAGACGCGGTGTTGACCCTGAGTGCATGTTGTACAGCCGGCGAGTTCTTTTCATACTCCTGCTCCACTGCCTGTGGATCTTTCATTTGTCTTCGCCCTGTGCTTTCAGTGTTTGACCATTCTGACGTAGGTCGGCAATGTGCCATCTAATCAGGTTAGTGAGATGTTCTTTCTTCCTCTTCTATGTAACTGAGACTACACTCACAACGTAGGGTGTAAATCCAGCCTTTATGCTGGGATTTCTTATCGACTGTTTCGCTAGCTAGCTCCGTAATTTTGTTTGGGATCTGAATGTTAACCGAATTCCATTTATTTATAAATCAAAATACAACAATTACTTATATGGTAAGGAACAGTTACATAATCTGCCATGAACCATCAATCAGAATTGTATACTTATTTAGACGCCTTGAACAGCGAAGTCAAAAGGTTTCCAAACAATCGTAGTGAGTTGTGGGCAATAATCTAGCGCTGCCTTCAAGATCAGTTAGTTACAATTTTTGATAATTTATCTTCCATGCGATTTTGACAAGATTACAAGAAGTCGTCTAAACGAATACCCCGTACCTCTGAAAACCAGAGCCATGCTGGTAAAGTGACACACAATTAGAAGAAAATTATTTAGGACAAGACAACAGTACAAGCAGCGAAACCTTGAAATCCGAATCGGAACTCAAACTACGAACGTGAACAACGATGCATTTCTCATTAACTAATAAACTAGTATCGTCAAAATTTTTTAATTAATAATTAATAGTAGTTTCAAAATTCGCTGAC